CCCCAAAACCCCAAAACCCCAAAACCCCAAAACCCCAATAGGGCTATAATTTATAGAATAAATTGGAAATAAAATAGATGTCTGCTCATGCAAAGCCTTTGAGCTATACTCCAACAGCCAAACAGGTGAAGAAGTATCCTCATCGTTCAAAAGAGAGGTAACATAGCTCTTAATTCGTTCTGAACTCGACTTGTGGTTTAGGAAAGTTTTTAGTAGAAGAAGATAAATTTGTATCATTAGCTATTCCTGAACTTTTGCGAATTTTTCAATTTTAGTTCCATATTTTTACTATGAGGTTTAATATGGGTCTAGGAGATCTTCAGGATTCAATACTTCGGAGAAACAGCCCCTGAAGAAACTGTACAGGAATTATAGTCAGTATATTAATAATTCTTCAATCAAGAGGCGTAAAAATCTTCTGTCAGAGGGGAAGAAGACCTGTATTAAATACATAAAGAAGGGCAAAAAGGGACACTCAAGTGTCCGCAAAGGAATGAGAGGTTCTTACCACAGGAAAAGTAACGAGTATGAGTCCACTGTTGCACTTACTAGCCATGGTAAGAAGCCTAGGTTGGCTCAAAGTTATATAAAGTCTCCTAATGCAATGTCTACTGAGTATTCTCAAGGCCTATCTCATTCATTAATGAAACGCTCAATTAGTGATGATGAAGAAATTCCTAACGAACTCGATGAGACTGCGTCGTTTGATACTAAGGAAGAAGTCAAGAGGGAATCTTCAAGGAATAAAATGAGAAAACCTTACAGTAGAGAAGAAGATTACCTTGTCTCAGGAAGGAAGTGCACCCCTCAGAATGAGGAAACGAAGGAGACTCAGAGTAGAGTTAAAGAAGAGCACCATGATCAAAGATATTCAAGCTTAATGGCAGCTCTGGATCAATCAAACTCAGCTATGGCTTCTTTTCAGGTCAAATAAATCTTCTGTGGCTAAGACAAGATCATCAGTATTTAAAAAGCAGCTGAAATCATCAGACAGATCTCCATCAAGAGTTACTAGCTGGTTAGGGATGAAAGATAAGGCTAGACGGAATAAAGCCAGTAGGTCACCTAGTTTGCTTAACTCCCGTGCTAAAATGTCACCTTCAAGAGAGCTTGAGGAGGACAAGTACATCGATAAGGCAGATAAGATATTAGTTCAACAAAAAGGCCATATTAACAACCTGAAGTGGGCTAAGGAGGAAATTATTGATGAAATAACGGAGATTCAGCAGCTTAATCATGAAGAGAAAGTCCGAATCAGAATTATCCTTGAACGCCAGCAGAAGATAACTAAAAATATTGAGAAAGAAAATAGAATCAAAGAGTGGGTTTGGGCCCTAATCATTATAGAAACTATATTAAAGCTGTGCAGAGCATTGCTGCATCTGTTGACGAAGAAAATAGCAGAAAGAGGACCCTAGAACAGAAATATTTCACTCCAATTATTGGTACCTATTCCTTCTGATACCTTTAGCTAACCTAGAATCAAATGCACAGGACTTGATAACCAGAATAGCTGAAGAAAGAGAAGAGATTGAGACAATCAGGCAAAAAATTCAGGATGTTAACAGATTTGTAAAAAACAAGTAAGCTCCTTGTTAAGCAATCATTAGAGGGGATGAGCTAGAGGACTGAATAATCGAAGCATGTGAGATCCAGCACAACCTAAGCCAGGACATCAAAAGACTTAAGCAAGTAGAGAAGAGAAGGAAGATCGATGTGAGAGACATGAAATTCGAAATGTCCAAGGCTTTTAAAAACAAACATATCTCCAATGTGTAGTAGAAATAATCAATTTTGGGCCATCAAACAGGGGTTTTGGGGTTTTGGGGTTTTGGGGTTTTGGGG